AACCCCCAAAAAAAAAAAAAAAAAAAAAACCTTTCAGGGACCAGCAGGTGTTGTGGTAGTTAGGCACTGGACACTCCCAGATGGCCAACCATGGTTTGAGTCCTGGACCTGGTGGCTTGCTTTCTCAATTTCCCTTTCTCTCTCTGTGTCTATCTCTCTGTGGTCAAATTTTAAAAATTAATGAATGGATAAATAAATGAATTTTAAAAATAAATACATAACTTTAGTAGGACCAGCAGATGGCTAATGGTTACATGGCTGGACTCCCACATAAGTCGACCATGGTTTGAGTCCCGAGACCCAGCCGCGCAAAACTCATACTGGGCGTGTACGTGTGTATGCATGTCCATGATGCCGAAAGGACAGTGGAGGGGAAGGGGCTGCAGCGCGTTAGGGGGTGATTTCTCGCTGTCTCTGTCTCTCCAGCAAGTGCACACACCCAATAACAAAAATCTCTCTAAAATGAAAAAAAATGAATAACTTTAGTAAGTTATCTGTATTTGGGGAAGGGGGATTATAAAGCATTTCTTCAATTCTCCCAAAAAATAACGATTTTTTTTGAGAGTTGTCTGTTTTGTTTTGATTTTGCTATAGGGCATGAGCGCTTGCCAGAAAGACAGCGAGACAGAGACATAGAAAGTGAGAAATCACCCCCCAGGGAGGGTGGCCACGCCGCAATTCCTTTTCCTCCATTCTCCTCTCGGGATCTTGGGCACACACGCACACGCGCCCGGCGTGAGTTTAAGCCACAGGGTCTGGACTCGAACCACAGTCGACTGACTACATGGGAGTCCAGCAACACAGCTATTACACTAAGTGCTGGTCCCCAAAATATCAATTTTTATAAGCTTGCTAAAATGAGATGTTTTATACCTCTCAACAATTTTATAAGTACCAGCTTCCTTTACTCTAATTAAGGACACAGCTTTGGCTTTAGAGCGAGGAAGCCAAATGAGAACGCCCACTCCTTCACCTGCTGGAGTTGTTGCCCTGAGCCAAAGTTACTCATCCTAGCTCCACAGAGCTCCTGGGCAGACAAAGCATGCAAACCCCTATAGCTCGTGCCCAATGAGAGGTCAACAAATGGTAACTGGCATTATAGCTTTGTTAACTATGGGCAAAGAAAGGTGTTTATACCCCACCTATACTAACGTCAGAGGACCGGTATTTGGGCAGGGGACAGACTGATTTCAAAAAGAATTTAACATTGCCAGCTTGTCCTTTAAATAAAATTCACCATCCATTAAATACTGCTCACTAAAAGTAATCCTTTAGAGATTCTAAACTGTTGCTTACAGGACAGCAACAGGGCACTGTTCTTACTTTGTATCCACTGTTCAAAGAAGGGTTAGACTTGGTGAAGGAGACCAGTTTAGGATCGCAAGAGCAGGGAAGAAGATGAATGCCGTTTCTCTCTGTACTTTAACATCTAAGGAATCTTGTAACTTTCTGCTCATATTTTGCTGAGAAATTTAGTGACAAAGCCTTCTGCCCAGTAGTTACACAGGGTTTATTGGCGAGCACGGTTTTAACAATATTGGGCAGGCACGGGAAACACAGGACGCCAGCAGACAGCTCGTAGAGGTCTAGGGAAAGACAGACACAGGCCAGCACCCCACACCTAGACTTTGTG